ACGGCCCGGATCGCTCGCGGCCCGCAGCCGCCGCGGTGCTCGTGCTGCTGTGCTGGGTGCTCAGAGTCCCGGCGCTGCTCTACAACTTACGGTCCAGCCGCCTGGCCGGGAGGCACAAGAGCGACGTCAGGTACACCGCCTGGGACTCCTCTCTCCTCTGGCGGGAGGCACTGAGCCTCTCCGAGCCTCGGTTTGCGCCTCTGTAGAATGGGTCTGCAGAGAGCCGGCTCCCTCCAAGAGCGCCCGCACCGCCTGGTGCCTGCAACACCTCTCTCTGAGCTGGGACCCCCTTCTCTGAGCTGGGACCCCCCACTCTGAGCTGGGACCCCCTCCCTAGAGGGGCAGCACCTCTCCTGGCCGCTGTAGGAAGACTTGGTCCCAGAGTCTTGAAAGCCGTGGGGCGGGGCTTTCCGGCTTCCCGCCCTGGCCCCGCCCTCGGCGGAAATGGGGGACACCCTAGGGTCCCTGTGGGCGCCTGGGGGCTGCCACAGACAGAATTTGCATGCCTGAGGCCCAGGCCCTCTCCCTCACCTCCATTGCTCAAGGAGGTAAAGAGCCTGGGGAGGTCCGGAGGCCCCACTAAACGCGGGGCAGGCGCTTAGGGGTCACCGGCCCTCTGCCGCCCTGCCATCCCCGCCCGTCCATGGCCCAGCAGTCCAAGGACCAGGCTCCTGTGTCTGTTTAGTTTCCCAGGTGGCAAGTGTGACCCGGCTGACCAGGATGTGGTGCACACGGCCCTGAGGGAGACCCGGGAGGAGCTGGGCCTGGCTGTGCCCCAGGACCATGTGTGGGGTGTCCTGCAGCCCGTATATGACCAGGTGAGCCCACCAGGCTCTGAGGCCACAGCCATCCTTCACCCCATTCACCCGCTCTCCTGCCCTGGGCTAGGCACGGGGACCCCAGGGACAAGGAGCTGGTCATGGACTCCCGCAGGTGCAGAATGCAGTGAGCACCAGGCACCTGCCTGTCCCTCCTCTTCCATCCGCTGCCACCCATCAAGGCCCATCCAGGGGCATTTTTATCCTCTTCTCACAGGGATACTGAGGCTCAGGTTCCGGTGGAAGTGGCTCTGGGGTGAGCCAGCTCTGCTCAGTTTGGTGGATGAGGGTTGGGGAAGGCCCATAGGGGAGGAAGGGATTGAATGACAAGCGGCAGGTTTCAGGGTAGTAAAAGTAAGGGAAGGTTGTTCTAAGTGGAGGGAACAGTCTTCGAAGGCCCAGAGGCCTGGATGGGGAACCTGAGTCGGGCAGCCTGGCTGGAGTGAGCCCCACGCAGGACAGGGGCCAGATGGACCTGGCCTTGACTGCTAACAGCCTCTGGATGGCAAGGGTGGGGTCTCCCTCTCAGCCTCCCTTCTCCAGCCCCAAAGGCCTGCCAAGGCCATGCCTCCCTTGACTGCCTGCCTCCCTGGCCCAGGCAAAGAACACTGTGGTGCCGGTGCTCGCTGGAGTGGGCCCGCTGGATCCCCAGAGCCTCCAGCCCAACCCCGAGGAGGTGAGTAGGGGCAAGGATGCCGGGGAACTGGGTTGTCCCCATGGGGGGAAGCTGCCATGGTCAGTCCTCTGTCCACCCTCCCGCTGCTCCTGTCATAGGTGGAGGAAGTGTTTGCACTGCCCCTGGCCCACCTGCTGCACGTGCAGAACCAAGGCTACACCCACTTCTGCAAGGGTGGCCACTTCCACTACACAATGCCTGTCTTCCTGCACGGGCCACACCGAGTCTGGGGCCTCACCGCGATCATTACCGAGTTCACCCTGCAGGTCTTGGTACCCGGCGCCTACCAGCCCCGCCTGGATATCCCTGGGGCGCGGAGGCTCCGGGGCTGAAGACTGGCCCCAGGCAGCCCCTGCCCTCACCCTGCCAGGCCAGCGCCACCTCAGGACTGAATAAAGAGCCTTTACCAACTCTTGGGCAACTGCATGTTCTGCGCTAGGGCCCTGACCTCGAGCAGACCCCATGGGACAGCTGGTCTCCTGGCTGGGGCACCCCTGTCCAAGCACACTGTCACCCACAGCAGTGGGCACTTACCCTGCACCAGGTACTCGGCATCATTCCACCCTCACCTCAGCCCTGTGAGTGGGGCCAGCACTGTCCCTGGCTGGTGAGCTGGGCTCCGAGAGGACAGACAGCTGGACCGAGCTGGGATTTGAACCGGGCCCTCTCTGACTAGAGCCCAGACCCTTAGCCACTGTAGGTTCCTTCCTCCGTGCCTGGCTGACCACGTGCTGGGCCGCAGGAATCTGGAGAGGAGCCCTGCACGTGACTAATGAGCACCCACCATGCACAGCTGCTGTGCTGGGGTCACGTCTGCGGACCAGCCAGATGTTGTCCTGGCCTCTGGGGGAGCTGGGGCCGCGGGGGCTCAGACTAGGGGAGACCTTAGACAAGATAATCATGTGGTTGCACATTAAACAATCACATATAAATAATAGTGGAATTATACAGGGTTCTGTGTAAGAGTTCAGGGGGGGGGGGGGCGGGGACAGTTGGACTTTGGCATGTGGACTGGGCAGGTTTAGCCAGGATAAGTGATAGAAAGCTTCACCCACTAGCTGATGTTGCCATAAGAGGAATGGTGATTATGAACTCCAGGGTTAAAGTAGCTTCAGGCATGGCTGCATCCAGGGGTTCTCTCTCTGGCTGTGCTTTCCGCGGTGTTGGCCTCATTCCCAGGAGCAGTCTCTACTCCACAGAGAGAGACGAGGAGAGGGCAACAGCTCTAGGGGGGCACCAGTGTTCCATCCACAGAAAAGAGAGTTGCTTGGCCAGTGTGACCCAGAATTGCACGGCACTGGCCTGTGACCCAGCAGGCCTTCCCCGAGCCTGTCGCGTGTCCTGCTGGATTTGGAATTCATTGATTGGCAGGGTCTGGGGCACAACCCTGGGGAGGAGGTTGAACCCCCTAGGCTGGGAATAGGGAAGGGGGTGGCCTCCAAAGGACCACTGACTGGGAAACGGGAATGCTGAGCAGGTGAAAGCCAGCCAAGTTCCCCTTCAGAGAGTGACCTTGAAACCAAAGGCAGGAGTGAGCCAGGTCAAAGGGCAGAGTAGGACAGTTAGGGCAGCAGCTGCACATGCACAAAGCTTGGGGTGTTCATGGAAACCATGAAGAGTAATGTGGAGATGAGGGGGTGCCTAGGGGCGTGCTTCAGTGATGGGTTAGGCTTTTATTCTAAGCCCATAAAAGGAGAGAAAGGAGTTGATGTGATTCCATCCATGTTTCAAAAAGCTTGGAGCTGCAAGGGACCAGACTGCAGATGTCCCTTCCCCAAGTGCCCCCCTCCTTCCCGGGCACCCCTCCCATTCCACATGAACCCTCCATCTCACCGCCCCTTGTACCCCTCCATACCTTCCAAAGTGCCCCCACACCCCCGCCCCTTCCCACACCCCCCCACATGCTCCCTCCTCCTGCACCCCTTGACTCTCACCTACCTCTTCATCCCCACACACCCCTTCTGTTGCCCCTCACACCCCTGTCACCACTGGGCATCCGGCCTCCTCACCCTGGAGCAGGTCCCATGATGGTGGTAAAAATAACTGAGGGCATGTGAACAGGGGGAGGGGCTGACAAGGGCGGAGCGAGGCTGATGCCCCTCCCCCCATGCTAAGTAAGGGACCCCTGGAGTTGAGGGCAGGGAAGTGCCCTCCCCTGAGCCCTGGAGGTGGGCTCTGAGCTCCACCCCCCCCCTCCTCCCTCACGGGTACCAGGAGGCCCTGGGTCACACAGATGAGTCACCTCAGTCAGGCATACCCAGCGCCAGCAGCGAACAGAGCCAGGTGGCGGAGCTCTCAGAGAGGTAAGGAGCCCAGCAGGCGCTGCTAGCACACGGGGTCCCCCTCCAGGCTGAAGCTCCCCACTTCTTCGCCACCCACCCAACCCTGCCCTCTGTCCTCAGGTCCACCCAGGACCCTTTTCAGCACCCTCAGCGATGCCTCTTCACCATGTCTCGGCCCAGTGTGGCCCCCTCATACCCAGTCCAAGGGGGCTTGTCTGAGTCCCCTCCCCTGGCCTGAGCCCCCATGGCGGGCATGGCGGCAGCAGGCTGGCGGTGGCCACAGCAGGTGAGCATGCAGGAGCACATGGCCATCGATGTGAACCCGGGACCCATCCAGCCCATCCCCCTCATTTCTGACTACTTCCCGCATTTCTACCCCTTTGCTGAGCCTGCCCGGGGTGCCCCAGGCCCACACCCTGCAGTGTCTCCCGCCAGCTCTGCACCCCAGCCGCAGCCAGACCCAGAGCCAGAGGGAGACTCAGACAACAGCGGTGAGTGGGGGCAGGGGATGAGGACACGCTGGGCCCAGCCAAGCCAGGATGGGGTCTCAGGCATCCTGGGCATCTGACCTGTGAGGGGCAGGGCAGGAGGCATGGAGCCACGGTGGCAGGGTGCCAGAGGAACTGACCTGCATGCCACCTGCCCTTAGCTACCCTGGGCACCCTCGAGTTCACACTTCTTTTTGATGCGGACAACAGCGCCCTGCACTTCACGGAACACTGTGCCAAGGTAAGGATGGGCGGGGGTCCCTGAGCCGTGGGCCTGGGCCACAGGCCGGCCCCATATCTGTTGTTTCTTCCCAGGGCCTCAAGCCACCGGCCTCAGGCTCCCTGGACACCTATGTCAGAGCCAATCTGCTACCAGGGGCCAGCAAGGTGAGGGCAAGAACCAGGCTCCTGCTACTGCCCCTCAGCCACACACCCACCCGTCCTGGCCGGATCCTCCCCACGAGGCCTGGGCATCAGGCTGCACAACTAGGGGTTCTACTGGGGAGGTGGCCAGGGTGGGGCCCTGGGGCTGAGGAGGCCCTGACCCCCCTGCCTGGCCCTCAGGCCAGCCAGCTGAGGACATGCACAGTTTGGGGCACAAGAGGGCCTGTCTGGGAAGAGACGCTCACTTACCACGGCTTCACCCACCAGGATGCTGGGCGCAAGACCCTGCGGTGAGGCTTGAGGCTGGGCCACGAGGGAACGGGGTGGAGTGGGGCTTGCCTGCCCAGGTCTGACTGGGGTGGCTACCAGGTTGTGTGTGTGTGAGGACCCATGGCTGCGGCCACGGCTGGGGCCACGACAGCGGCGAGTGCCTCCCCTGGGGGAGCTGCGGGTGCCCCTGAGGAAGTTGGTGCCCAACCGAGCCAGGAGCTTCAGTGTGTGTCTGGAGAAGCAGAGGATGGTGAGTCGGGTGGCGCAGGAGGTGGGTCTTTGGGGTCCTGCAATCTTGTGATGGGGTAGCTGGAGGGGAGGGCAGGGAGAGAAACTTGGGCAGTGTCCGGCCAAGGTGACCAGGCTCTCTGCCCTTTCAGACCAAGAGGCCGGGGCGCCTGGACACATCCGGGGCATGTCCCTGGATGAGGTGCGTGGGACAGTGGAACTGAGCAGGAGGTGAAGGGGACGCAGGCCTGGGGTACTCGGGCATCACGCAGGTGGGGAGGTGGGCCTGGAGACACTGAGGCCAGCCCCCCTATGTTCTGCGAGTGCTTGGAGCCCTGGGGGGCAGCCAGGCCAGAGGATGTGTGCGGCACTGGGATACGCACAACCCACAGGGGCAGAGACCCAGGCCACCTGGAGGCAGGTGATGAAACTGATGGGGTTTGTCTGTGGCCAGAGCAGCTGGGAGGGCAGGAGACAATGGACAGGTGGGGCTCACTGTCTGCTCCCAGGGGTCAACGTGGGTGCCACTCCTGGGGCTGGTAGCCTGCCGGAAGCCGGTCCACCCTTGCTGCTTGACACAGTCGCTGCAGGGAAGAAACATCTGCACAGCTTATGTTTCAAGGCACCTGGCGTACATGGCATATGTTTGCTCCCCCTCTTAAGGCTGTGTTTTAAACAGGAATACCTCCCTGAGAAAGGCTGTTTCCCCAGGTGAGGATTTTCCCCTGGAGTTAGGGAGGGAATAAAACCCCTTAACTAAGTGCCAGCCGGGTAGTTAATCGCTTTAACTACGAACAATCACACTGAAGCTACATAATCTTTACTTCCTGGAATGCAGATAAGAAACGCCCCAACTTAGAAAAAGAAATGGATAGGATTAAAATCAACTGATATAAACACAGATGTAACAAGACCATAAAACACAGAAACTGGCTGGAGAGCCTGGCTAGAGAACCTGGCTAGAGACCCTGGCTAGAGACCCTGGCTAAGAGAATCAACTGAAAGCTGCTGTCTGTGTCCTTCCTTCTTTGCCGAGTGCTCCACACCTCTGGGAACCCCTGGACCTGCTGGGGCCCAACCCAAAAGAGGGCGTCAGAACAGGGTTCCCCTAGGAGCTGGAGCCGCCTGCGCCAGCGCCCTTGTGTGCATGTGGTGAAAGAGGCTCCTGAGGTGGCTGGAAGAGGACGGAGATCACCCGTGAGAAGGCGGAGTTGCCTACCGGTGTCCCCCCCCCCCCCCCCCGTGTCGTCCCCCAACACCCCTCCGCGGTCAGCACGTGGTGAGGCCGGAGCTGGAGAGAGGAAGCGCGGTCCGGGGGAAGCGGTTGTCGAGAGCAGCTGCAGCTGCGGCCCAGGCACAATGTCAGAGCCAACGCTGGCCGAGGCCGGTCCCGCGGGGGCCAGGGAGGACGCCTGTCGGGAGTATCAGTCATCCCTCCAAGACCTGACCTTCAATAGCAAACGGCACATCAATATGCTGACCATGGTAGCCGAGCAGAACCTGCCCTTCGCCAAGGAGATCGTCTCTCTCATCGAGGCCCGAATCGCCAAGGCTCCTTCCTCAGAGAAGCTTCCTGTTCTGTACCTTATGGATTCTATCGTGAAAAACGTTGGGCGAGAGTACCTCGCTGCCTTTGCTACAAATCTAGTTGCAACATTTATTTGTGTGTTTGAAAAGGTGGATGCAAATACTAGAAAACGTCTATTTAAGTTACGTTCCACATGGAATGAGATATTCCCATTGAAGGAACTTTATGCCCTGGATGTCAGAGTCAATTCGTTAGATCCTGCTTGGCCTATTCGACCTCTACCCCCCAATGGGAATCCATCTAGCATCCATGTGACTCCTACATTGCTCAATAAATCGCCTGAAGAGCCTTCAGCTGGAAAGATTCGCCACTCTGGGTGTAAGCAGTCACACATGCAAGACTTTATGCCACCTTCCAGGGAAGAAAGAAATGCTAAGAGAAGCGCTGAACAGGATGTTCATGATCCAAAGCGAAGAAAAAAGACTGAAGAGGAACGGCCGCATGAAACTACCAGTCAGCCAGTGGGTGGGCTCAGGTTTGAGGGACATCGGGGTCAACCTGTGGGAAGTCTGAGGTTTGAGGGACCTCACGGTCAGCCTGTGGGTGGGCTTAGATTTGATAATCCCGGAGGTCAGCCTGTAAGTGGACATAGATTTGAGGGGGGTCATGGTCCATCAGGAGCTGCAAGGAGGTTTGATGGGCCTCACGGTCAGCCAGCAGGTGAGATCAGATTTGAGGGCCCTTTGCTACGGCAGGGAGTCGGAATGAGGTTTGAGGGCCCCCATGGTCAGTCAGTAGCTGGTCTGAGGTTTGAAGGACAACATAATGCACTTGGTGGAAACCTTAGGTTTGAAGGTCCACATGGTCCACCAGGGGTTGGGATCAGGCTTGAGGGACCTTTAGTCCAACAAGGAGGGGGAATGAGGTTTGAGCGTCCTGTACCAGGAGGTGGACTGAGACTTGAAGGGCCTCTGCGTCAAGGTGGTCCAAGATGGAAAGGTTGTCATGCTTTCAGGTCTGATGGGCAGCCAGGTCAGCCCTCACTCTTACCAAGATTTGATGGATTACATGGCCACCCAGGCCCTAGATTTGAAAGAACTGGTCAGCCAGGCCCACAGAGATTTGATGGACCACCTGGACAGCAGGTTCAACCAAGATTTGATGGTGTTCCTCAAAGATTTGCTGGTCCACAACACCAGCAAGCATCAAGGTTTGACGCTCCCCTTGGTCTTCAAGGCACACGA